AAGGAAGTCGGGGTCGATCGAAAATGAGATGGCGAGACAATATTTGCAAAATATCCGGCCAAGCATGGATGAGAAGAGCAGTGAACTGTGATGATAGCGATAATTGGAGTGATCTTGAAGAGGCTTGTGTACGATACGTACAATAACAGCTGAGTAAATAAATAGAATCATACACAAACATTTTCACGAATATCGCTATAATGTACTTTGCAACTGGAAATTTCACACAAACACTTTTACTTCAGTGCTGCTTGTGACAGAGATATTGGCAGGTTTGGTTTCTGCTGGACGGTATGGAGTATTAGCATCATCGGATGTGGATGCAGTTGGTCTTGCAGACTGCTGCTGAAGTGGGGTTGGTGTGCTCAGATTGGGAGGATTGATAGTTGGAGAATACGCCATATCCTTTGTCGGAGGAGCGCAGGCTGAATATGGTGGGGGATCGTGTGGCAAAGTACTTTCTGCCGGGAACGCATTCCCTGGAAAATGAGATGGCAGATCATGAGCACATTTTTCAGATTTCGCCGGATTCGGTGTTTCAGATTTCGCTGGATTCGATGTTTCAACGATGGTGCGGTAGGTTGTTACACTTCTGCTGTAACTGCTGTGACTGCTACTGTATTCGATGTAACTGCTGGGAACTGCGCTACTTGGAAAATCGCGCGGCGAAATAACTCCTGCCGGGTCCGCATTCACTGAAAGATGAGATCAGAGATCATTACCCCGTGTTGAATTGTTAGTTGGAAGAGGACCATAGCAAAAACTTGTTATTGCTGAGAACGCTTTACTTAATCGATCGAGCGATATTAATTAACTGTTGAGTAATTGGAAGATTACTAAATTCCAAACTCTCGATAATTACGACGTGAAAATCTCCGTCCCGCCACGAAAGCGATTAAAAAAGAAAGCGATTTNTGAACAAACGCTGATTTGCGAAGTCGTTTCAAAGAAATGATTCGCATTAATTAAATCTCTGAGAATTGTGGGAACTCATCAGAACGTACCTCGATTTTGAGAGGGTTTAGTTTTTAGTATGACTGTTGGTCTTGAACAGGGTTCAGATTCTACCGTGACTGTTGGTCTTGAACAGGATTCAGATTCTACCGTGACTGTTGATGTTGAACAAGGTTCAGATTGTACCATGACGGCTGGTCTTGAACAGGGTTCAGATTCTACCGTGACTGTTGATCTTGAACAGGATTTAGATTCTACCGTGACTGTTGGTCTTGAACAAGGTTTAGATTCTACCGCGACTGTTGGTCTTGAACAAGGTTCAGATTGTACCATGACGGTTTGTCTTGAACAGAGTTTAGATTCTACCGTGACTGCTTGTCTTGAATAATGGCATCTGAAGAAATGATAAGATGTGAAAAAAGTGGAGAGTGAAATGAGGAATTTGCTTGAAGAACTTCATATTCAATAATGTTTCGCTCAATGTGGGGAGAGTGGGAATAATCAGCCTCGAAACTTCGAAAAATGTTCTCGATAAAGGTCATGTCTGATGTTTGCTGCTTTTCGTTGCTGATCACGACAACAAAAGTTACATGCACCCTCCCAACGCTTCTGTCGCTCTTTTAGAGCGTAAAATTTCTGCGAGCATCAATTCACGAGTTCTTCCGCCTGCTGAAGAGA